ACTAGTGTGCGCTCTCTTTCTCTCTCTCAAATAAATAAATCTTAAAAAAAAAAAAAGAAAAGAAATCAGGCAGTTTTCATTGTCTTTGTGACCAATGCTTCCATCCTTAGGTGATTTGATTTTAAAAAGATAAAGGAGCAACAATAATCAGAAAGACTGCATTACTAGAAGCATCTTGAAATTAAGAGGGAGCTATGTAGGGGATTTCTGCTGCTACTAGAAAATAATTTCCTCTGCCTTTGCATTATTCATCTCATGTAAATTTTGATAAAGTTCATCACTGTGATTATTATTTCATTTACCACATTTTATATGTTTATAGCACAATTTCCACAGTAGGATCTTTTTTCTTTCCAGAAATGTGTGTATTCTGGATGGCAAAAGGAACCTTTTTAGAAGCAGGTACTTGACACACATCACCCTATTTCACTGCATTCAGAACTTACTGCAATATGACCATCTCTACCATGAGTTCTAGACGTGGGCTTTTTAGGCCATAATATTTATGCACCATGTACGTATGCACCTACAACAGTTACACATACTGCAAACACCAGCTAGTATACAGTTGATTTAATATGCTCACAACTACCCTGTGAGATGGGAATATGAATCCTAAATTTTGTGACTGAGATTCTTGGGTTCATTGACTTCCTCAAATTTACACAACTGCTAGAATGGAAGGGCCAGGATTCCAAACCAGGGTTTTCTGATGGGAGAATCCGTGTTATTTTTACAATCACATTCAATGCAGGGAATTCAGCCTCCTTGAAAGAAATCCTGGACTTAGAAGTGACCAAAATGAGGATAAGCCTAGTTAGGAGGACTTTGTGTGACAGTATCCTGAAACTCCTCTGTGAGCCCCCTTGGAATTCTCCTGACTGGATTGGTTTTATAGATTCATTCAACTTCAGCATTGGGAAGAGGCTTAAAGGTCATCCAGCCCAACTCCCAGGAGGCCTGTACTGGATGCTGTCTAGGTTCTCTTGAGGCAGGCAGTCCATTCTTTCTCGGGACAGCACAAATTCATAGGAAGTTCTTTATATTCAGCCAGAAGAAGCTACAGAATAAGCCTAATCCATCTTCTGCATAACAGTCCTTCAGATATTTGAAGGGAATTCCAAATTCCCTCTATTTTTTTTTCTAAGCAGTCCCAGTGCTTCCAACTGCACTGTGTAGAATATGGTTGTATTTCTTTTTTGACCCTATATTCTCTTCCCTGAGTACTGTGCAGTCTTTTAAGGTAGCATTAAGAACTAGAGCACAATGCATCAGGACTGATTTAACCAGTGCAGACTGGATTAGGACTGTCATCTAGGAATTTTACATTTGCCAGCCACACAAAGTGTTGCGATTTAATTCTAACTGAGCATCCTTCACAATATCCCCTTATCCCAAGAGATGTGGGTCTCAGTATCTGTCCAAACTCAAGAATTCTGAAATCTTGCCATAGATTTAGGAAAGAACCCTTAGAAAAGTGAGTCAAAGTGCACATATTTGTTTTCAAGAAAACAGGCAAGGAGATGGAGAGGCAATCTTTAGCATAGTAGGTATTTGTCACGTACTCTGACTCTCTAAACTTATGCCTGAGTCTTAATGGGGATAAGGTGTGGAGTGACAGGTCAGAAGTAAATGAATAGAAATTGTATTTTCTCTAATGTCTAAGAGATACTAAGAGAAGGCAGTGCTTCTTCTAACTGGCTGTGATTCCAATGTAAGGGTCAGTGATTTTGCTCATCTGTTAGTTCTTACAGTACCCTGAGACATAATTCACCATGGCCAGAATGGATTTGCTGTACATAGGAGTCATCCTTCTAACCTGCCATGTCCATAGGTATGTGAGGAACTAGGATGAAACTGAGAGAATTATATCCTGCTGATTCATACTCAGAAGGTGGGGAATATATTATTTGTGTCTTTTAGTGCGCATGTGTGGTTATTATAGGCACACAATGAATCTTCCGTTTCTTTTGTGAATATGTAAGATGATATAGAATGATTTTCAAAAGTATAAATTGAATACACAAATAGTATATTATGTTCCATTTCAATTGGTAGAATAGGTATAAAATTTGTATGAAAATATAATCAGATATTTGTTGCTTTCAGTTTAGATACTCCTAATAGACAGCTATAGGATATTCAGCACTCTCTGAATCAGATTTGAATTAGTAGACCTAGTTTGTAAAACCCCCTGTTCCATGTTCATCAAGCATATCATTGTATTTAAATTTCTACTACATTTAAAGGTAAAACAAATCATATTTTCATTTTAAAGGATTGTTTAAATCTTTATGATAGCATGCATATTTCAATAATTTAAGAATAAATGGAAGAAAAAGTCTTAAAAGTAAAGTGCTTTAAGACATCTGAATTTCAGATGTAAACATTTTGTCACCTACTTATATGTGTGTGTGTGTGTGTAAACTTGATCTCTTCAAAGCTGTGTTAGAGATGAGATAGGATAGGAAGGCATACAAGCATCTGTTTTGCATTGACAAATTTCAACAGGCATTTTATGTGAAGGTGAAATAATTTGGCCCATTAAAAAAAATTGATATGTTTCTATTCTGAAAAAAGCCTGCAATATTTCCATATCTGGACTTGCCAAAAATGCCCATATTTACCACCTTCTAACATAAATCAAACTCATATATTCTGTGCACAAGCACCCATGCACAGAAAGATTCTGAAAGAGAAAATTCTTGGAAGACACAGAACAAAGAAAGAGAAGAGGAGTCCTTTAACCGTAGAGCTGTAATTTATTAAGTGTCTTTAGAATTCATGTAAGGGACCTCTCTCTTTTTATTCTTCTCTTGTAGGTCTCTAAGTCCACTGATGACAGGAAAATCTTCAGTGGTTCCAGAGACAAGCTGCTGGAAATCCTGCACATTTATCTTCTAGAAGGAAGTGAGCTGATTAGGATAGTGGTCCCTTCAGAAAGAACCTCCCCCCCAAAACTTTAAAGGACTCCAAATTAAGCCATGTCCATTTCTGGGACCCTAAAGTGGCTCATGAAAGTCAAGGACTACTTGCTTAATATTAGGTGATTTCAAAAGCCTTAAGATTCTAAGGGGAGAGTGAGGATGGGGAAGGTGATGGTGAATAAATTGGAGAACCTACCAAATAACAGGGTGTCTCTTTATTCCAAGCATCATTTTCTATCTCACATTGTGTCTTTCAATTAAAAAAAGGAAAACATGTCTTCTTTAAAAACATATTTTTTCTCTATTAATATTCAGTACTTAATATATGAGTACAGATCCATCATTCATTAGATCTAGGTAGATCACAAGCTAATTTACAAATTCAAAAGCGTAAGTCAGATCAACTCCATTGCTCAAGGCCATGTATTTGCAAGCTAAGAGTATGCACCGAACATTTCGAGTCCTTGGACTGGTGTACTGGGCAATGCTGCTTTTCTGTAAGAATTTGTTCATATGTTGGATTTAACACAGTTTTGCTTATCAGTTGAAAACCCTTAACCTATACCCACTCATGTAATATAAAGTATAAAATTAAGTCAATGATCTAGAAAATTCAGGGCCAAGTAGTTTAAATCATCTGGATCTTCCCAAAGATTTTGATTTCTTTTAAACCTGAAAAAATAGGTAATTACTCAATAGCCTTAGCTCTAAAATATATCTGACAGGTTATTTTTATTTGTTTGGTTTTCGGAAATCATATCCATGCTTTCTACCCTCTGTAGTTTTTAGCAAAATGAATCAAAGCCACTCTGTACCCAAAGATAACACCAGTGTTGTCTTTTTTTTTTCTTTTTAAACATTGCAGGGCTTTACCTCAAGTGCTATGCAGTAAATTTACAGGGAAAGAAAAATTTTATTAAATTATAACTGAGAGGAGCTGATTTTTTTATATAGCAAACAAAAAATTCCTTCATTAAAGGCTATAAAACCCATATTATTTACCAGAGAAGCCTTTCCTGTCTCCCAGGTAAACACTTACAGTGTGTAGACTTGTGTAAATACATATTTAGGAGTGGCTAAATATGGTGAAGTATTTTTAAAGGCGTATTTACAAAACTGAATACATATATTGGCATTTTGGTATGTGTAAGTTGTGTTTGTTGCTCTGCTGTCTATTCAGAATTCTAGCAGGACTCTGGTAGATACACCTTGGATATAGGGACTGAATTTCAAAACATTCATCTTTAATCAAAATTACTAAGGACAGGTCCTTAAATCATTTCAAAAGGGTGAAAATTTTCAACTAATGGAGTTCAGGTCTTCCTTGCCAGTTTGACTTGAGGAAAACTTTCAGAAATGCAGGCATCGCTCGCAGAAGCAAATCTCCCCTTCTGAACATCTTTGTGCATAAAATAAGTATCATTTCACATTCAGCTCGGAATATTACCAAATACTTAAAGATAGAATCCAGATGATGAATGGGTCAACCATGAAATTTTAGTTAAGGGGAAAAATGTCATTAAGATATATTAAAAATACTTTAAACCCATTATTTTTAAAATACTTTAAAAACATGAAAATGTAAGTGATAAAATCTGCTTGTTGCTGACTCAATAGCAGGAAGCTTCCTATGATAATGTAGTAAAATTCCATCTCAAGGATTCCCGATGTCCATGTTCATTCTTTGCTTCTTGGGAAACATGTTGTCTCTGAGGAAAAGAATGTGATGGCAACAGAGGTTGTAGACACATGAAAGAGCACTATCTCTGCTTCTGCTGTCTGCAGCAACTCAGAATGAGTGAAGATCCCATTTGTGTAAAAAGCCTTTTTTAAGATAGACAGGTTGAGAGTCTAAATAACTCTAGGCTTGGGCTATCTCAGGATCCTTTGGTTAAGGAGTCTAAACAATGCTTCTATTTCATTTCTAATGCAGCACACAGCTATTTCTAAATGCTCTCAATATCCTGCAATGTAATAATTGAAAATCTTATTATGGTAAACCGTATGGGGACAAAGATTATTCAATCAGTGAAATGATTTCTCCAATAAAACTTGCACTGGGCTGAGTTTTTTAACTTTACAAAAATACACATCATATGTACATATTTTTCCCAAGGTACCAACACCACAGATTTTGGTTAAACCTGCTGGGTTCTAAAATTTTAAATTTAGGAAGAAAGAAAGGAAAGAAAGAAACAAAGAAAAAAAAGAAAGAAAGAAAAAAAATTTATTTTAAAATATTATGACAGTGCTATAAGGCTTCTGGAATGTAGAAGCTTCTAATATATGTGCTGACACAATTTTAGCTTTAACTGTGAATGGGTGCACTATACATATTACTCATATGCCAGTATTTTAGATTTGGAAAACAAACTTTTCTGGCAAAAGACAATCTTTGTTTCAGAATTTAAAAAAATACACGAGCAGGCACCAACACCTTTGCATTACAATTTTTATTAGTTTTATCCCATCCTTAATGTTATTCTGTGGCTAAGTATCTCATTTCCATGTAAACTTCCATTAGGAACACAAATTGCTGACACCACATCTACTGACAGAAATGCCACAACATAAATTACGCCAAGAAAATGCTGCTTTGGGTGGGGGGCATGGCAGGGGGAACTAAGCTAGATAAAAAGCCACTGTGCTCCTTGCCCAGCCTGCAGCCCTGTCCCGCTGACCACTGATAAAATTTATCACAGGGCCACATATGGGAAGGCAGCTTAAAGAAGAGACGTCTGTGGTAAAACATGTAACAGCAAAACAGCTAATGGAGCATTATTACTTTATTGGAAAGCAATATCTCTGGATGCTTCACTTCTCTAGCTTTAGCAAGTGTATGAATTGTTCTTCTATATGCAGAAGAGCTGATATAAAAAAAAAAAGGTTATTAGAACACTGAATGATGGCATGAGGCCTTTCCAGGGCTCACTAGTTCACCACTCTGCCCAGTATACTTAACCAGCAAGGGGTAATGGAGTTCCAACAAGGTTAAAAACCAATCTGAATCTTCATTCCTTTTTTTTTTTTTTAAAGATTTTATTTATTTATTTGAGAGAGAGAGAGAGAGAGCACATGCAGGGGGAGGGGCAGAGGGAGAAGCAGACTCCCTGCTCAGCAGGGAGCCGGATATGGGGCTCAATCCTGGAGTCTGGGATCATGACCTGAGCCAAGGCAGATGCTTAACCAACTGAGCCACCCAGGCGCCCCTGAATCTTCATTCTTAAAGGAATGCTGATCTATAATGCCAATGGTCTCTTTGTAAAGAAGCAGTCTTGCAAATTCCTGGCTAATGGTCATTGCCATAATTCAGTCCTGGTGTTAGTAGGACGTAGAAATATGCAAATTCTAGTAAAAAGAGTCTCATTTACCAAGATACTTAAAAACTTTGTCATTGGATGGGCTTATT